TGTTCAGTCACTCTCACAGTAAAGAAATTCTTCCTCGTATGCAGATGAAACTTCCTGTATTTCAGTTTGTACCCATTACCCCTTGTTCTGTCACTGGTCAATGTCAAGAAGAGTTTAACTCCATCCTCTTTACAACCTCCCCTCAGGTATTTGTCCATGTTGATCATATCTGCTCTCAATCTTCTCCAGGCTAAACAGGCCCAACTCGTTTAGTCTTTCTTCAGACAACAGATGTTAGACCTCCTTAATCATTTTTGTTGCTCTACACCAGACCCTCTCTAGAAGCTCTATGTCCCTCTCACAACTTACTCAGTGCAAGATGTTGTGGATGCTCAAAGTCCACGTGGGCTGAAAGATACAACTGCAAAACAAACCAGACAAACCCACAGAGGAAGCATTTACGGAGAAAGGGACATCACTTCTGACATAGGAAGCCCCTGCATTGCAAATCCTTGGATGCTGGGAGAGAATTACTACATGCTCGCCCTCTTCCTTCCTTGCAAGGCATCCTTACTGCTGAGATGGTAACTTGATGTGAAGTGTTTTAGGGTTTAGAGTAATTTAAACAGGCAAAAGAACATAGCGGCAATGGCAGAATAAACCGCTTTGTGAAACAGTGTTCATCGGAATTGGATGGCTAAATCCCCTCTAAAGCACCTGGAAGATTTAAGAACTCATGTCCGAATGAACAAGATGTAATGAGCTTGTGTACAGGCTTGATATGAAAAGGGGATTGTTTTTAGTAAAACAGCAGAGAATAGCCGCTTATAGGAAAGAGTGATATTGAATTTTAATCAGGAGAACATAAAGATACAAAGAGAAAAAACTGCTTTGGCTTAGAAGTGGACTAGATGACTTTCTCAGCCACCAACAATAGATGCTGAAGAGTGTTACCTCCTAATCTTCCATGTTCTGTTATCTTCACTTTTTTCACTTTTTTCACTTTTTTCAATCACACACTTTTTTCAATCAAGCCTGTATTGTCCTCCACAAAGTGTAGAGAAAACAGAGATACAAAAGATGAAGCAATGACTAAGAAAAACAATAAGTGGCTCTAATTCTTCACCCCACTATTACTCACTGAAGAGTTACATGTTTAGATTGAGAGAAGAAGAATCCAAGCTATGTTTGCTTGCCCATATTTTATGTACATTAGAACATATTCACAACTGTTGTTCTTCCTAGTGATTCTCTTTTATATGACTGCTTGGGACTTTTGTGACCCTCACTAACATTAAATGAAGTTTATTACATKAAACGTATTTCTGAAAGGTTTAACTGGAAAACTCTTGCTTCAATGTGTTTTTAGTTACAGAAAGATACACACACCCTCTTTGCTTATATTTTTTTTTCCAAATGAGCATGTTGTGGCAATTATGAGGAATTTGTATTCTCTGTTGATGGCCAAAAATCCATTATCTGTATTTCGTGGTGGCAATGGAGTCCAGCACTATGTCCCTTGGCCAAACTTGGGGGGATTTTTTTGTTGTTTTATTATTGTTTTGATGAGTGGGTGGAGACAATGTTGTTTAGGACCTCAGAGTAAAGCATATGGTGAAACAGCTGGGTTTTCTTTTCCTTTTTTGAGCAGTAGTTCTGTGCTGGGGATGACCATGAGTGGTCTTGTACTGATGCTGCATGCTAAACTGTTGAGATTGAGCAGTGATGGGTGCCCACTGCCATTCCCCCTAATTTTTAAGCTTCTTTTTGAAGCTCTTTGCCCTCTCTTAATTTGCAGGCAGTCATGGGAGGAGGGTGCACAGCAAGGACTACTTTTCTGGAAGAGCAGGTATTACAGACATCAACTAAGCAAGCCTGAAATTGCTCTTCCTGAACTGACTAGCCAAGCATTAAAGGCAGTCAGCCCTTGAAAAGCCAAGCGATTTACAGGCTGTTTTGAAAGTGTGGGGTAGGAAAAGCTTCTTTGAGAAAATATTTTAATTGTTGCCAGTTGTGTCTGCCCCATTAGAGAGCCCATCTACTTAGGAAAGGCTGAAAAGAGGTTGCTCAACCCATGCAGAAGATGTGGCTCTCCAGGAGATGCAAGTTGCCCACTCCAGACAGCCAAGCTGAACTGAGCAGTTTAGCAGGGGTCGTGAATTTCAGGTATGCAGGACACTACAGCAAAAGTCTCTGCTTCACAGCCTTCAGCTCAGCCACTAACTGGGGGGGGAACGGGAACACACCGCACATTTGTTCCTCGCTCATCTTTTCACCTTGGCTTCAGTAAACTAAGTTGGGAAAAACTTGCTCATAGCAATATGGCATAGAAATGTTAAATACTTCTCCTAAAGAGAATGCACAGATGTGGAAGGTGTTCCCTGCATAGGCAGTGCAGGTAATTTCTAGTGCTGTGCTTGGCCTTGTCAGATGCAAAACATGGAAGAGAAGCTCAGCCAGCCCATACACTCTGCCATACAKGAAGAGAACAAATGGACTAGAGAAGGTCAAGAAAAGATGATGGAAAGCTTTTTTGATTAAAGACATCTCTGGAGGTATGGTARCTCATCTCTGTATGTCTGATGCATCAGGAGGGCTATGTCCCCTCTCCTGTATTGCTTTGGAGCCAGGGATTCCTGGATTCACCAAAGATTGACTGAGCATGAAGTGTTTGTGAATAAATAACACAARTAAGGTTTTGGTGTGTTTAAAAAAGATTTACCAAGCTCTTCCACCTACATGGAGTCCTCCCTGCCTCATACTGATGTTAGTCACGAAGAGTAAGGAGGAATCTATAGGAGCGGATCAGACAGAAGTGCATTAATGTCAGAGTAAATGTTATGCTGGGAGCTTCTCTGAAGAGACAACAGGAGGAAAAGAGGGTCTGAGAGCTCTAGCAGGTTTCTAATACTTCACTTGCTTAGCACCTTCTAATAACTTCAATGTTCACAATGCTGTAAAGAAATCCAGTGGTAGAAAACAATTTCTGAAGTTTCTGTTCTTTGTTGCCAGTTTATTCTGAACATGAGGCTTTGCTTTTATAGACTGTAACATTCTCTCCCTCTCGTGACATGACACAAATGGGTGTTAAGATTTCCTAGAAAGTATCACCACTCAAACTGTCCCACCCCAAGAACAGATGCAAGGACGGGAGGAGGATTAATGCAATATTACATAAACTCTTCTGTGTCATAGTGCAATTATACACATATACACACACTCAAACAAGTATTTATGAACTTTAATTGCTCTATACATTTGCCTGAGCTTTTATTCAGAGCTGCTCCAGGTAGGACATGGGGACAAAAAAAAATGCAGGTAAAGAGTACAGCCACCACTTAGAGCCCTTGAGAACCCCTCCTGCTCCCAGCAGCTCCCACCAATGCAATTATTTTTACCCCTCTCTCCATGAAACCTGCCTCCTGCAGCCTTTTCCCAGGTAACAATCACAAATCTCACCTAAAGAGATGATCTAGTCCAACCTTCTTGCTGAAGCAGAGATACCTAGAGCATGTGGCACAGCCACTGTGGCCACTGCTTTATCTGTGCACCTGCAGTCTCCAGAATTTGCACTCACTTTAAGGAATTGGGAAACTTTGGTCATACTTTATTTCCCTGTGCCTGGCATGTACTGCCCAAACCTTCCCCACCTGCTGACARCCTTCCTTTACTTTGAATACTAAGGCTGAGCCAACATCTGCACAGACATCTTGGAATTTAAATATCTGAGTGTTATTAGCTTAGGAAAAATATACATTATGCTCAGTGATTCAAGAAAAAAAGAACAYCACTGAACTTGCAGCAAAACTGCTGTGCCAATTCTCATACTGCAGACAAGTGTAAAGTATCTTAGTCCATATGCCTACACTCCAACTTGGAAGGCAGGCTTAGAAATGTAAAGGTTCTGGAAAAAAAAAAGAAAAAAGAAAAAAGATGAAATTCAATGCTCTGCAAGTATGAGAAAAATTTGACAGTGTAATTAAGCTATCTGGTCTGGCTTTGGAAGGGTTCAGCTTTCCTCTTGCAGCTCGAGACATGTTGAGGTCCTTAAAACATTGCACCAAAAAGCTCAAATATGCTYGAGCATGATAATAACAATCTCAACTCCTCCCCAAATCCTTACACTTTACACTTTTTTCCTCCCTTTTTTTTTTCTCTCTCTCTCTTTTTTTTTTTTTCCTAAATGACAACCTGAACATACTACATGCAGCCTCATGTTTCTCAAGAGAGTGAAGGGAGATAAACTTTGTGCTTAACTAATGTCACCAGCTCTTTTCCCAGCTGTTTCAAGTGTTTTTAGTGAAGCTCCTGCAAACCATCACCAAACTTTTCACTAGGTTTCAGGATTCTCCCCAGGCAAAGTCAGGCAATTAGAGCAGCCTTAAGGCCGGTCATTTAACACCAGGCAGCTTCAATAGCTGCCGCACTTATTTTCACCCACCACCCTGATCTGTTTCAAACTGCTGTTTTTCATCATAAAAAGAAAAAAAAAATACAGGGTAAAATCAGTAGCAACTTTTAAGTGTCTAGCCTATGCCTTAAGGGGACAACCAGCTATATAAGGATTCAACATCAAAACGAAACCAGTACATTTTTTCCTCTCTTTCCCTCCCAGCGTATTTTCCCCTCCCTGATCAACTCTCACGCTGCTTTTCGCTGCTCCAAAGTTTCCCGCATATCCCCCTACAAGGCAAAGCCATGAAAGCAGACAGCTAATCTTCCGCAACTTCARCTGGCACTAGCCCTGCTATTTAATTTACAGAGCAATTTCTCTTTTGGAAAGAACAAAAATACACACTCTCTTCCTGCACTGTAACACTGAGAAATATATTTGAAAAATAAAAACAAAACAAAACGCAAAATCCTTCCTCGGGTCTCTCTAAACATCTGCTTAAAGGGTTTCCCTGTCTTAAAGGAGCTTTAATTGCCAAYAGTTCCTCTGCTCCTTAAGCTCAGGGCTCACGTTTAGATTATACCTCAAGCACCAGTTAATTTAGGGGAAAATTAAAATATATATATATTAATAAAGTAAAAGAAGAGAAAAGAAAACACAGGCCTACCTTAAAACTTTCCAGCTTTTCAGAGGATCCAAGTCAGAAATTATAGACACCATTGTATTAATAAAAAATAATAATAAAAGGGGAGGAGGGGTGGGGAAAAAAAAAAAGGACGAGCGAGCCCACTGCGACTGGATGCGATGGGAGGGCTCCTTCCTTCCCCTTTCCCCGCCTAAGAAGCTCTCGTACCGGCTTCACTCCCGACGCCTTTTAAAGCCCTCGCGGAGCGAGCGCGGACCCGAATTTGCCCCTATTCACCCCAGCGGCTGCGAGCTCTCTGCGAGCTCCCGGCTTTCGCGTGCGCTCGTGGGCAGCTGTAGCCTCCTTTAGGGGACTGGCTTTTCCCCCTTCATTCATCTGTCTGTCTCTCTCTATACATATTATACATATTTGTCTTTTTTTTTTT